TGACCGGGGGCACGGGGACTCTCCGTCCGCTGCAGAACGTGCCGAGGAACAAGCTGTGAAAGGGAGGAGACCGAGCTCGGGGCTTCCTTCGCCGCAGAAAGGGGGGAGGGTAACAGCTATTTAACATATTTTTTCTTTTAAATTATATATTTATTTTAGATAAACTGTACATAGTATTTATATTTATTGTAGGTCTGGCCCTGCATGCTTCATGTATGTAAAGGTGACAGGGTCAGACCTCCCTTATTTTTTAAGTGCAATGTAATATTCTAATAAATAACACTTTGTAACAAATGCTTGGGTCGTTAATTTAATTATGGAGGTGGAAAGCAGTCAGAATTCTGAAGGCTGTGTTCAGCACCAATTCCATGCTGGTGGGGTATTGCCAACAGCAGCAGAGATCGTGAGTGTGTGGTCAGAACTGCTGGATCAGCTTGTGCCATCCTTGGGGAGCAGTGTGGTGTAAGGGGCTGCAGGCAGGATCCATCTCAGCTTGGCCCCATGTGGATTATTTCAGAGCTTTTTTCTTCATCTTTGCCAGCTGGTGCTTTGGGAGGGGTGTGATGTTTGTGGGTCTGCTCACCAAGCAGAGCTGCCTCTGGTATGAATAAAGCCACTCTGGCCACTGATCTGTTCAAATGGGAATGGTCCCTGGTTTTAAGGCAGCATTTGTCATTTAGACACTGGCACAGGTTGCCCAGAGAAGCTGTGGCTGCCCCATACCTGTGGGTGTTCAAGGCCAGGCTGAATGTGGCTTTGAGCAACCTGGTCCACTGGAAGGTGGGCTGGATTATCCTAAAGGTCCCTTCCAACCAAATAATATTATGATGGTTCTATGATTTGGCAGAACAAAAAAATCCAGAGGTGGACCCCACCCCTCCTGAAATGAATCCCAGCTGTTCTTGGGGGGATTGGAGGTTCCTGGAGCTGAGGTAATTGCAGCAAGAATCACTTCATACAGTGATCAGGAATGATTCCTTACTTTGCAGTAAAAATAACCTCCAAACCAGTTTTTTCCTCTTCCCTGGGGGGAAGTGAGAGCGGGGGAGTTGCTGGCTCTGCTAGAGAGCTGCGAGGCAAAGAGAAACCAACAGGATCCTGGGCTGCATCCAAAGGAGTGTGGCCAACAAGTCAAAGGTGATTCCTCCCCTTTATCATGTACAATTCTGGTGTCTCCAACATAAGAACAATATGGAACTGCTGGAGCAAGTTCAGAGGAAGCCACAAAGTTGGTAAGAGGAGG